AATTAAAATGAGGTCACATTCCTTGGTGATACAATGGTCAGGGGTAATGTACTCAGACTGTATTTTTGTATTACCTAGAACCCACAAACAAGATTTTTAGAATGAATATGAAGAGTTGCTCTTCTCTAGATTAGCCAAGGGAAGTACGTCCCCAAAACAGAAGAAAATATTAAAAATATTATTTTCATGATGTATCCCTTTCTAAACATTTTTTCAAGGGAGACAGGTAGGAAAATGACATTATATATAAATATTTGAGGAAAAACACGGTGCTTTAAAACATAATAGTATACGTATAGAATGAGAAATAGAGTTGAACTATACATACTAAACAGTGATGAACATTTAAAAGATTGTCTTCTGGCAATTTTCCAGGATCAAACAAATATATGAGAAATGCTATTATGACATCAAAGATGTAGATTAATGACATCTTTTCTTATGTGTGTATGGACCAAAAAAAAAAGTTTTCTCTGTTCTGTATAATTTTAAAAAGAATTTATCTTGAATCTCTACTTTTACTTGAGTTTCATCTCTTATTAACTGAACACAGATATATGGATCCTTCTCTGATCACTTCTGCTCTATATACCAGGTTAAACTTAGAATGTAATGATTAGTAAATTAAAAATTTACGTTAAGCGACTGGATAGTTTAAAAAGTAAGATTCATAGTCTACCTGGATTCTCAAAATCTCTTCAATTCCTAAATTCTTCCAGACCCAAATTATTTCCTATTTCATTTGACGCAGTTTAATTAAAGACACAGAAACTCGAGTAAAGAAAATCGTATTGATTTTGACTCTGAGGTCCTTACTATAACAACTCTTCCAAAGCTTGGGAATAAATATCAATCATCAGTTGCCAAATGTCTATTGGTTTAAGTACCAAAAATATCCCATTAATATATATACACTCATACGTTTTAACACACCCACTCATAAAAACAACCAAATGTTTTGCTCCCATTCTGACCATGGACTCAAGTGATTTTTCACTGTTATCAATACCTGTGAATGCCTGGGTGGAATTTTATTTTACAGAAATTTAAAAGCTGGTAACTTGGGGGAGATCTGTATAAGAGTTACCGCCAAGCATTTCCCAGTTCTCTCAGTCACGGGGCTCCTTCTCCTAAACCTCTCTTTGCATCTCCACTAGATACTATGGTATCTCTACCACACCACATGGCACCGTAATTGTTTGCTTGAATGTCTCAAAGTGGTTAAATCTGAGGGCTCTAAAGCCTGAGTGTGTATCCCAGCCCTGCCACTTATCAACTGTATGTCCATGGGCAACTTATTTAACTGCTGTGCACCTCAGTTTCTTTAACAGTAAAATAAAGATTAAAAATCGGACCTATTCTTGGGGTTGTTGTAAAGATTAAATTTGTTAGTATATTTAAAGCACTGAAAACAGTGCCTGGCATACAGTAAACTCTCAATAAAAAGTAGGTATGGTTGTTACCCGTCTCTCCTCTACGATGCAATTGTACAATGTTTAACATAAGCGGAGTCAAGAAAGACTCACTGGAAAACAAGCGAACGGAGGGATGATGAAGGAAGGAACACCTCATCACACAGACCTCCCGTGATGGTGGGGCCAGATCTCAAAAAGGGGAAGAGACTGAAGCAGGAAGTTGAGAGAGAAAAAGAGGATTACGAAGGAGAAAGCTGTGGTCCTTCAAATACGCCCAATACTGCCTCGCAAAACGCATTAGCAATGACGCTAATTATGTTTAAGGCCATGGATGCCTGGACTGCCATTTACATCACAGCTGGAAGTCTATGCCAGAACGCTGCAATTTTTATTTGCAGAAAACGGGATATGACGAGGCTCACAGGTCTGTTATATCCTCGTGCTTACAATGCCTACA